GACACGGGAACACGGGAATCACCTTAAGATTATTTTTTACATTTCCTTCTCAAATTGGGTGATCCTCTATGAACTATTATAGGACATTCAGGGAGTAAATTAGCTCAAACTAGTTTGCTTTTTCAAAAAAGGACAATGTTTTCTTACTATAGTTGCAATAGTGTGAGACTGAACACTGCAATCTACAACAATGGCCTATAGTGTCTTCTTGTGCAGTCTGCCTTCTTCCTAAATTGGAGAATTTGGACATTATAGCCAGGTACTATTGAGGACGGGTAACAAGCAGAGCAAATCGAGTGTGAATTTGAGGTCTTAAACCTTATTTTGCGAGCCTTTGTTATAAACCTCCCATTTTAACGTATAAGGGTTTTTCAGTATTTTTTTATTTGGCTCAAAGATTTGCGGTATTATGATATAGGTTTCTTTAAATGTTTTTTGAAGGTATACCATTACTGTTTCTGTATGTAAACACTACGACAGGACACTATCCTGCTGCTTTAATGGATGATAACTACAGAGAATTACAGTAACTACATGTCATGATCAGTGATACAATCACACAGACAATAGGTTAACAGTAACAGGACAAGAGTATACATATTATCAGACCTTAGAGTGGCCAGGCTTAATGTCATTTCCAAGGTAGGTGATATAGATAAGTCCAGAAAACAGGCCAATGTCAGGGATTCCAAAGGTCAGGATACTAGATAATTAGGGAGGTCAAACAGAACCGGCTCAGTAACAGGAAAACAGAATCAAGACATGGATGCACTCTCAGGTAACAAAAACCACGACTGGGCACTTACTGAAAAGCGAATTACACAAGGTGAGAGTTTGTAAGCCGGCATAAACCACAGATTCAAATACAATACATCGCAAGTAGAAATATATACATACATAGAATACGAAATATAGATTTATATAGTGTTCAAATACCAATGTATTATTTAAACCTGCAATGTCCATTAAACCAATTGTTTAGTCGCTTTAACTTTGTTATGGTGAAGAGATGTCTTAGAATGCTGTGCCTATAGGCACCTGGTATTTAAATCTGGCCCCAAACATAAGGGAACCCTCTTGCTCCTCAAGCTGGTTCAAATTCACCAACAGACAATGAATTGAAAGAGTCGAATCCAGCAATCAAATTACCATGTATCACACAAGATTCCTCATCATCATGAAAAGATCAGAACATAATAGGCTTGTGCAACAATGTATTTCAGTTGGTACGAACAAATATTCTTAATCTGTACCTAAATCAATTGATCCATCCAGGATTTACCTGTGGAATCAATTAAATGAATAAATCCTGGACGGATGAATTTTGATTTGTTTGTACCTGCTGAAACACATTTCTGCTCAAGAGTGGAAGATAATTCTAGTTGCTACAGAGTCTGAAAAATGTTGTTTTACCGTCAAAACATCTTTTTGAAAAATGCACAGAATTGCTTTTACATTGAAAAAAATAAGGAAACCTAATAAACAGATTGTTGCAACATCCAAAAAGTCAGTCAAAAAAAAAAAAATAGAAGATTTTCTCTCATTTGACAATTTATTTTTTAAAGTGAGAAATGTCAGGATTTCTAAAGTTTAAATTTGAGGCCAAATAGTTTAACTGGAAAGGTTGGTGACATATCTGGTACGGTGGCAAAGTTACTCCACTAACTGACTTACCATTGCCGCAGTGCCAAATCACTCCATAGGACATGCAATGCCATTTGCTACTTACGGACTGTTGTTGCAGTATCACGGGTGTTAAAAGGCCTTTTTTTGGTATGTATGGTATGTCTAGTAAGGCCAGGTATAGGATCTCACAAGAATAGTTAACCCTTTCGGTAACCCAGCATAAAAGCATCATTCTTGTCATTGAAAAAAAAGTTGCTAGCTATGCTATTAATGTAAATTAATTCATTTCTTTGTTTGTTTAAAATTTAGATTTTGGCAAGAGGTCAATATGTGGGCTCAAATTTAAGTATCGTACATAAGCTTTGACTTTATATTAATAATATTCCTCAATGATTCAATACTTCTAGAAAAACATTCCAAATTAGTTATCTACAGGTGTCACCTATAAATAATTTGGAATGTTTTGAATAAGCTTTTAAAATCACTTAAAAAGTTACAAATAAGTAAGAGCTTACAATGTCTGTAAGCTCTCTCCATACCAATACCTGGATCTAATAACCCACAGCATGCATTACCTTAAACCATTTAGGAACCGAAAACCCTTTCCTGGTATGAAATATCCTGCTTAGTTTACATTTGCAGCTTTATCAAAAGTTTTTAGAAAGCACAGGTCCCATTTAGGGTGTGTTTTGTCATCACCAATGACAAGCACGCCCCTTCACAAAGTGAGCATGTTGGTTCAATGCTCTTCCAGTGTAGACCATGCGCAGAGCTCTGCTGAAGAGCTCTCACAGGAGAAAAAAGCCTTGTATTTGTTCTGCACAGCACAAGCAAATTTAATAACATGTTTGCACTGTGTTTGCTTGAAATATGTCTCTGGTGTCTCCATAGTTGGGATACCAGGAGACAAAAATGCTAGGAAAGCATATTGTGCAGTGTGTGTGTGTGTAAGGGGTGTAGTGTGTGTGTGTGAGTGATGGGTGCTGTTTGCGTGAGGGTGCTATGTGGGTAAGGGTGCTGTGTGTGTGATGGGTGCAGTATGTTTGTGCTGTGTGTGAGTGGGTGCTGTGTTTGAGTGAGGGTGCTATGTGTGTGTTAGGAAGCTGTGTGTGAGGGTGCAGTGTGTGCGTGTGAGGAAGCTGTGAGTGTCAGGGGTGCAGTGTGTGAATGAGGGTGCTGTGAGTGTCAGGGGTGCAGTGTGTGTGTGTGAGGGTGCTGTGAGTGTCAGGGGTGCAGTGTGTGTGAGTGAGGGTGCTGTGAGTGTCAGGAGTGCAGTGTGTGTGTGCTGTGAGTGTCAGGGGTGCAGTGTGTGTGTGTTGTGAGTGTCAGGGGTGCAGTGTGTGTGTGTGCTGTGAGTGTCGGGGGTGCAGTGTGTGTGAGTGAGGGTGCTGTAAGTGTCAGGAGTGCAGTGTGTGTGTGTGTATGTGTGTGCTAGCGAGGGCACTGTGAGTGTCAGGGGTGCAGTGTGTGTGTGCGTGTGTGTGTGTGTGTGTGTGCTGTGAGTGTCAGGGATGCAGTGTGTGTGTGCTGTGAGTGTCAAGGGTGCAGTGTGTGTGTATGTGCTGTGAGTGTCAGGGGTGCAGTGTGTGTGTGTTGTGAGTCTCAGGGGTGCAGTGTGTTTGTGTGAGTGAGGGTGCTGTGAGTGTTAGGGGTGCAGTGTGTGTGAGTGTGTGAGTGAGGGTGCTGTGAGTGTCAGGGGTGCAGTGTGTGTGTTTGTGTGTGCTGTGAGTGTCAGGGGTGCAGTGTTTGTGTGAGTGAGGGTGCTGTGAGTGTCAGGGGTGCAGTGTGTGTGTGTTCTGAATGTCAGGGGTGCAGCATGTTTGTGTGTGTGAGTGAGGGTGCTGTGAGTGTTTGGGGTGCAAGGTGTCTGTGAGTAAGTGAGGCTGCTTTGACCTGAGTGATTATATCCCCCCTCCCTGCTTACCTTTAGCCTGGGAGGGTGGGATCCTGCTGCTGCTGCTGGCATCCATCCCTGGTGGTCCTCGTGGTGAGTGAACTCTAGCCTGTGGGGCTAGAGTTCACTCTTACGAGACCCGGAGCATTTCCATGGCACTGCTCCGAATCTCGCGAGAGGAACCCGGCGGAGCTGTAAGTTAGAGCTCCTCCGGGTTCCTCTCCTGGCTGTCTCCCTCACTCTCTCCCCGCCGGCCGCAATATACTGCATGTGGGCCGGTGAGGGAGATCTTTGATCTCCCCACCGGCCCGCCGTGGACTACTGCAGGGCCGGCGCTCGGATAGTGCTGGCCCTGCAAAGACCGGCAGGAGAGATCCTGTGATCTTCCTGCAGGCCTCGGCCCATGGCCACTGCGGTCCACCGGGCAAATGCCCGATGGCCAGGCCGGGCCTATTGGGGATAATACAACTCAAGCCAATTTGATTGAGCAAACCTCATTTTGCTCTGAAGCATGTGAGTAGGTTTTATTACTTTTACTGTGCTTTACATTCTAATTTTCTGGTACGCACTATTGTGGTTATTTTGTCTTTTATTTATACACGGAGGAATATCCACATCACCAATACCCTAGAGTGGGGATCATATCACTTCACACATTACTTCTGGAGCCAATACCTAGGCTCCATAATATATCCACATACCTGCTTATTAGCTCAACTTACTACACTACATACTTTTATTTTGCCTCTTAGTTTTTATGAGGATATCCATCGCTGTAAGGAAAAAAATAATCTGCACAATATTTTCCATAGTCAGGGATCATTTCCCCTCCAGGCGTGCAAATCAGAGCTGTATTTAAGCTCCCTGAAAGTGTGAGTACACAATTTTTTATTTTTCTTACTCTATCAAGAAGTTTTTAACTTACTACGCTATCAGTCCTTTTTGTTTTTCCTTTTTTTGTCATTGCATAAACTTCAGACGCTAATCCTTCTTTTCCTGTTTTAAATATTTAATATATTTAAATGAAAACTGTGAATCACAAAAAAATAGGTTAACCAAAAAGACTGGAATCACTCAGAGATGCTGTACGCACCAGCTGATAAATCGTACAAAATAAAAAAACTTAAGCACATTCACTTAAAAACTAGCTTTAACACTAGTTTTAAAAAAAACTGGACAAATAAATAAATATGATTTAAAATCTTTCTGTAGTTTATTTTAAAAGGGAAATATGAGAAATGACTTTGCTACTTTCATCACATTACAGGATCTGCGCTCCTCTTTAGTGGAACATTTAGTTGTGTAAGATGAAATCATGTAATTCCTCCATTGCATATTAACGTTGAATTTGTTAGGCCACCATTTAAAATGATGTTATGTTTTCCTTTACACTGTCCCCAGTGCGAGATATTTCAATACTGATGGCCACAGATTCCTGTAAATGAAAGAGCCAGTCATCTGTGGTTAATGAAGCAAGAGACCTTATCGAGCTTTTTCGAAACCTCACCAACAGGGAAAAAAAAGTTTGTATTGTAACACGTTTACTCCACCCTATTTTTTTTCCTACATAAATAATATTCACGTTTTTCATTTGCAGAGACTCCCCTAATGCAGGCATTCATCTCAGAGATATCCGTATGAAAGAATGGAGAATTCGGATTACCCTAAACACGCAGCTGCTCCAATAATGGGAGCTCCCCCTATTTATGAAAACCATGGCTATGCAGCAACAGCAATGCCAGTTCCGAACATCTACAACCCTGCTGTTCATACCACAGTGGTCACCATAAGTCCCAGTGAATCCTCTGTCATACGAGATCATCTCCCATGGTCCATTTTCAACATCTTGTACATGAATTTCTGCTGCCTGGGACTCTGCGCAGTTGTACATTCAGTGAAGGTGAGGAGAGAAATTTCTTCAATCCAAGCAGATACCTCCCAATCTGTCCATTATCTTTCCTGATAAATGTTTCCATACAAAAAGCTTCTACTCGCTCCTTCCAAAAAATAGAATTGTACATCTTTCATTTAATTGTAGACATTGTTTCAGAAGAGATTGGATTAGCTTGTAGAATATATATTTCTGTTACTTCCTCAAAGTATGAAGAGAACATCTGTTTGTAGAACACTTTACTTAACAATAAATAGTACTTCATATTTTATTCTGTCTTTATAAAAGATTATAACAGCTTTTTAGCAATAAATAGAAATAAAAATCTGTTTATTTAAAATCAATTCAAATTGTGTGAATTTAATATGGAAGTATTCCAGTGTATCAAATTGGTATGTAGAAATACGTGAGATAAATGGTAAACAGTTTTGCAATTTTAAAAAAATTGTATACAAAAGTTTATAAATCACTGAAAACTCAGATTGATTTAATAACAGTCCTTTGAAGTTATTCAATCAATCCACAATCCTGGCTTCATCCCCTAAAGTTCCAGTAGAGTCCGGTTTGTAAAATAAAAAGTGAAATTGAAATTTGGTTAATTTCTGCAAAACAATTCCTTTTATTACAACAAACATTTCAAATGCCGTAAATACAATTTTTAGCGATACACTAGAAAAATAGAATCAGATTTAAAATGGCTAATGCTTTTGAAATAGCGGCTGACTTAAATGACTGCGGATATAAAATGTCTGCGGATTCTAGAATCGTACCTGTCAGTAACCCATCCTCTGTCTTCTAGCCAACGTGGATTGTCCATCTAGTCTTATGTGGAATTCTTAAACGGGAACGATCATCCAAGGATTTTTTAATACGAGGTTTACTTATCCCTATATTTAACAAATATATATTTGTCAGCTGTGAAAAAGAACATTAAATGTCAAAATTGACACCCCTTTACCCTGAATTGGACACGTCCATCTTAGATGCCCGTCAATCATTATTCATATCATGTCTGTCCTCTGCATGTGGCAGTCGGCATAAATAAACCATGCAGACTGGAGTAGAAATTAAACAGTTTTTCAGTTTCTCCTCCTCATTAGCAATGCTGTCATTTGATCAACTTGTAATAAAAATTAAAAGTAAAACCGATCATCTCATAAAAATATTAACAAGTTAAATGTGATTTTCAATATTTAATTCAATGGGAAGAGACAGTTTCCCTTTATTTCTACTTCAGATAGCTATAGATTCTAATAAACTGTTATTGTATAAGCCAATAATAATATTAAGTATTATACAAACAGTATATAAAATATACCATAAGTATATGGTGCGTGAATGTAAATATCAAAATGTATCAAAATAATCAAGGGAATAGAATAACAATTTGGCTTAAAAATGGATATATTGACAAAATGCTGAATTTACTAAAGCAAATTTGGCTGCTATCATTTGTTTTAATTCCATAGCACTCTGCTTATAGACTTCATTTAAAGGGACACTATAGTCACCTAAACAACTTTAGCTTAATGAAGCAGTTTTAGTGTATATATCATGTCCCTCAGGTTTCACTGCTCAATTCACTGCCATTTAGGAGTTAAATCACTTTGTTTCTGTTTATGCAGCCCTTGTCACATCTCCCCTGACTTGAATTGATTCAATCAGATGTAATCTACCTTAAACAATTGTATCTCTTTCTCTGTAAATTGAACTTTAATCACATACAATAGGCTCTTGCAGGGCCTAGCAAGCTATTAACATAGCAGGGGATAAGAAAATCTAAATTAAACAGAACTTGCAATAAAGAAAGCCTAAATAGGGCTCTCTTTACAGGAAGTGTTTATGGAAGGCTGTGCAAGTCACATGCAGGGAGGTGTGACTAGGGTTCATAAACAAAGGGATTTAATTTCTAAATGGCAGAGGACTGAGCAGTGAGGCTGCAGGGGCATGTTCTATACACCAAAACTGCTTCATTAAGCTAAAGTTGTTCAGGTGACTATAGTGTCCCTTTAAGGTTACTTTACTCCATATACACTGTTATATTGTTGCAGGAAAATGCATTTGAAAGAAGTTCAACCGAACATTTCCGTTACAACAAAAATAACAAAATGTTACGGGGTGATGATGAAAGAAGGGATCTTTCTAAGTGGTGTGGTGTAGGGGTAAGAGGGATTTGGGTAGAGTTAGGAAAACAAAGGGTTAGAGGACTTATAGTTGAGTTTCCCTTGTCCCTATGTGGGAAGTTAAACCAATAGAGTGCAAGGAATTCTGTTGCAATTCCAAATTAATGTGCAAATTTGGTTAAAATTCCCCAAATTCCCTTATTTGTGTGTGTTCTGCAGTTTTTATTTTATCAGTAATAAATAAGAAGTGGTAGATAAGCAACATAGCATGGGAAATCTGGAAACACCAACGCATTTCACAGCTACAATCAGACTGGAGTAATGGTCTTCCTTAACGATTTTTCTGTTTCATTCTATTCTATTACAGTCTCGGGATCGAAAACTTGCAGGAGACCGGTTTGGGGCAGTCAGTCATGGAACCAAAGCTCGGAATTTCAACATTGCTGCCACAACGCTGACTCTTCTCTTGTGTTTCATCATGTTCATCCTCGTGGTTTCAGGAATAATTACAGCAGTGGGCAGCATTAATTCTCGCTATCCAAGCAACCCCTACAATCCATACAATCCTTATCGAGGACCCCAATGAGATAAAGACATTCCCCATATAGCTTACCCATTACTCTTCTTGATATGGACACACAAGAGTTTTCTGTTTTAACATGTTTGTAGACTGATGGTGAAGGTCTATCTGTCTGTACATAGTTTTGTTTGTAAATCTGTTTTGTTGAAGCAGAATAAGTTTGTTACAGAAAAAAAGAATGAATAATATATCAGCAGGTATTCATACATTCGCAAGAACCTTTAACATTGATACACATTAACAAAAATGTCTGGTTAATTTTATGTTTTAAATTTCGTCGCTATGTCTGGTTAGCTCGGCATGTGTGATTGTGGTAATGCAGTAATAATGTTGATTCACTCGGATGCAATGCCTATCTAGGTAAGTTAGTGAAAGAATAATGCAAAACTATATAAGGTCTCAAACACGCATTAGGCAACTAATTTATAGGTCAGGCTGAGGTTGTTGCGTTGGGAATAATATATGGTTGGAACAATAAACAGGCTAATCGTGTCGTCTCGTTTAATGTCGCTGCAGTATGTTAGTTGTTGCCTCAAGCTATTTGTGACTCGTTTTGTTCGCTTATTGATTATTGAGTGCCCACGTATTGATTGAGGGTAGCAGATTTATAAAGACCATAAGAACAGCTGGGCTTATCTGTGTGAGCTGAGCAGGTGTGTTATGTCATGTGCAAACCAGATTCAGTAGCCGGTGTGCTAAGCACCTGTATGGTCTGATCCCCTTGCTAGGTACTTCACATTACTAGCTAAAAACACAAGAGAGTATACATCGTTCAGGCTAGCACTAGCGATTATTTAGTTAACGTTCAGGCTATATGGAATAAAGCAAAACATAATACGCTGAGTTAAAAAGGGTGCTCATCAAATAATGCCATGCTAGATTCCGCATCAAGCATAGTATGTCTGGTAGTAAATTTGGCATGGGATCAAGCCTCATCAGTTCATCATACAAGCTGCGGAAGTCACCAGTCTGTCCTAATGTGGCAGGATAAAGGCAGGTGTCATTTAGCCATACGTTCCGACTCGGGTATGTGCTGTACCAGTCCGCTTTTGTGGGTTAGTCCATGCGCTTTCCCTGCCGACCAGGTTTGTACATAGTTTTATAAAGCTCATAAACAGTTTTGACTTTAAACATTACACAAACTCATCAGCATTCTTTATTTTTTTAATCTTTGGGCTACATTTAATGGCATCTGCTTGCTAACCTCTTTAGAAGGTATCAGGAGTACCTACCTGCAAGCATTTTACCAATTTGTTTATACGTTTAAGTTGTTTGTTTCTTCAATAAAAGTTTAATGTAAATATTGGCGTTCCATGTCTCTGGTCTGGATTCTATTGGATACATCGCACACAACAAGCCTGATCCCTCCTGTGTCTGCAGAGTGAGAGTGACACTTAATCCATTGGATATGTGTGAGGGTGATATCATTTATCTAAACTTGAGTGCATTTATTGTAATTTGTGGATGTTCTGCACTTTTTTTTAATATATATTTTTGTTTCAAAGGTGCAGCCTAAGAGACTTTATGGAATATCAGTATATAAGTGTTAGAAGTTCTTCACTTTTTTGCAGGCAGGTGTCCAAGGCAGATAATGGATTTATTGGTATATCTTAACTATACCTCCCTCTCATAGGCGTGCGCACTAACAGCACCCATACACAAACAGCACCCACACAGCACACACACAATAACAGCACCCTTATACATACACACACACAGCACCCTTATACATACACACTAACAGCACCCTCACACTAACAGTACCCTCACACACACAGCATCCTTACATATACACATACACAGCACACACTAACATCACCCTTACACAAACACAGCACACACACACATATATATACATCACCCTTACACACACAGCACCCACACACTAACAGCACCCTCACACACACGTACATCACCCTTACACACAGCACCTTCACACACACACAGCAGTATATATGTGTGTGTATATATATATATATATATATATATATATATATATATGTGTGTGTGTGTGTGTGTGTGTGTGTGTGTGTATATATATATGTCTTTGCCGAATCACCAATTCACTGGTATAAAAAGAGAGGGAGCACAAACACACACGCCGTATATATATATATATATATATATATATACACATACACACACACGGCGTGTGTGTTTGTGCTCCCTCTCTTTTTATACCAGTAAATTGGTGATTCGGCAAAGACATGGGACCTCACTCGATCCTTCACTGTAGTCTTAATGCACCAGACCCAGGTATAAAGGGTTACTTTAATTCTTTGGAGGGGGGGCCTTTTCTGTTCACTATGGAGGAGGTCCCTCAACTCCGATCGCTCAAAAACCTGCAAAGTAAAGATCTTTACTCACCTGGAATCCAGCACCGGGCAAGTCTAGCGGTTCCCACTTATGCGCCCTCTCCTGACATCACTGGGACCTTCTCATAGAGAAGCCTGTGACTGAAGCAATTGCCGGTTTGCAGCGCATGCACAGGTGGGGAGGTGGAGAGTGGGAGGTTTTTTTCTTTCTAAAAAAAAAAAAAAAATGTCAGCAATGTGGGGGGGTGGATAGATTACCAACAGAGATGGAGGGTGGGAATGGAGAGCTAGCTGCAAGGGTAAGATCTCACTTCTGTTGTCAGAGTGTAAGGCGTGCTGACAACAGACATCATTTATGCACAGAAATGAGCTCAATTCTGGGCTGCCCATGTCACATGTGCTGTGGGTGCAACTTGCCCTCAGCACACAATTCAAAATAACTCTGTATGTGCAGTGCGTCACCATGACGTGGTCATGGTGGTTGGAGCAACCTTTTAAAGGGGAGGGTGGGGATTTTCCAATAACGACTCCAAGGAGAAATAGGACTGTTTAAAAACAGGTTTTTATCTAAGCTGAGTCAATGCATCGGTGTGCAGAGTTTATGCGCTGTGGTTGTTATGGAAACTCCCTAGATTGGACTTCAGGAATGGATTGACGTGACATCACTCCAACACTGACGAGATTTTCCCTTCTTGTGGATAAGTCCCAATCAGGACAAATCAAAAAGACTTTGTAAGGAGTGGAGGAGGAGCTGATGACGGCCAGGAGATAGGTGTTACATGAAGAGTAACACCCACAAAACGGTGCTGAAATGGAGGAGAAGTGAGTCCATGTTTCGATTTTACATTGAAAACACCATGTAGCTTTGTAATCAATGTCTGGGAGCAATTTGAGGTGAGTTCATTTTTTTTTTCCACAACAGGTTCACTTTAAACTGCACTAAATCTGGTTGACTACTTCTTGCGGGAGGGCACCAGGGCACTTCTGGCACCACAACCACTTTAATCCCTTAAGGACCAAACTTCTGGAATAAAAGGGAATCATGACATGTCATTAAGGGGTTAAAGAACTTTAATGGTTTTTGTGTTTGGAGTGGTCCTTTAATTAATATTTGAATGTTGGAATCAGTTGTGCTTGTTTCTCAATATGACTCGGTTTATTTGGAAGACCGATATGTACATATCGTTATGTGGTTCAACATTATGCTCCATTAGTATGCCGAATATTCATTTTTTGGGAGTGTCACCCTCCAGTCAGTCTGGCACTCAGAACATTAATTATGATTGCAACTATGTCAATCAAAAGAAAAATCTAAAAGGTTAGTCTTCAGCTGCCGCCAGATTGGATGCCCCAGGGGCCTTGCCAGGTTACCAGTCCCCCCACCTTAATTCAGAGTTATGGTGATAAGGGCCACACAGTTTGAGGATTCCAGGACCCCTGTCTAAACCCTGAGCCCTAGGCAGCTGGTCACTGTATGGTTAACAATCCTGCTCGGTTTGGTACAATGTAAGCACATATAGATAAATAATATATCTGTGACTGAGAGCTAGAGGGGATTTATTTTTTTATTAATCTTTCTTTAATTGAGGCATTAGATTAAGACATGACATATACTTGGGGGTTAAGGCATAAATACAAGCTTTGCAGTCGATTGATATTTACCCCTAGGAAAGTCAGCCGTGTTCTTTTGTTACAGTAGAACAGGTTAGATGAGCATATCATAAAATAACACATTTTAGATTGGTCCTCGTTCAGTGGATCAGCGATCAAATAGAAAAGAGCAAAAAAGCTCACCCACTGGCAAATGTGACTAACCCAATGCAAAACATAAGGATCTATCCAATATTATTTGGACTGATGCTAGAACTAGTGCCAGTTTTAGCATCAAATATAGAAACTCCTTAGCTAAGAGATATTTTTGAAAATTGGTTGAAATATAGAAAAATATTGTCCAACCAAGTCACAGGAATATAATATTCCAGATCTAAACCGATCCGGATTCTTCACAGAGTTGGCCACCGTTTAATCCGCTCAGTCCTATAAAGTTGTCGTATGTACGTGTGTGGGGTATGTTTACCTCTCCTGCTCTCTGACACACGATTGACTTCACATAGATTTACGAATTGTGTATTTGTCTGTGTTGTGTTTTATGTAAAAAAAAAATAATAAAGAATGAATAAAAAAAAAATACATTTCAAACTATACAGGCTGACAGTAGAATTAAAGAAAATAAAACAAATGAACAGCTTAGCGAGGAGGGAAACCCACAGGAGGCCCATTTAATAGAGTGGAAGCTTTTATCCTATGTTGATATAAAGACTACAGCTTGAAAGGTAATTAGATGGAATGCAATGGTGAGGCCCAGCACTGAAATCAACCAAACCCGAGCAGAGGGCCCAGGATCCCTCTAGTACAGGAGTGCAAGGTTGTCCTGTGGCCTTCAGGCAAGACATGTAGGATCGGTAGAATTCCATCTGCATGTCCCAAGTTCCACCGTGCTGCAATGTGAAGCCTCATGGTCTGCAGAGCTTCAAAGAATTGGACCACTATTCCATGGTGTTTTTGTGATCATCATATGGGGGCCCTCTGCACAGCTTCAGATTATGGACCTCCAGTTAAGCAGCCGGGTTGCCCAGCAGGTCTCAGGCAAGCATTCCATTGTGACTTTGATAATCTTAATCAGTTGGTGTAGGGCTTCACAAGTTTCTCTTCCGGGAACGGAGGAGCATGTGGCCTCCGCCATCTTGTGTGCGTCGGAGTGACTTTTTGCTTACAGCGCTAATGTCGTGTGACTTCAACTTTGCAAGGGAGCATCCTGGGGTCACCTACACTGATCCACAGGGTGGGGGGATGGGGAGCCAAAAGCACCTCGGTTTGGGAGTGGAGATCGGCCATTCTCCCCTAGATGCACTAGGCAGCGGAGCCAGCTCTCAGTTCCTCATCAGTGTGTACACCCCAAGGCATAGGAACACGCTCAGGTATACCCCTAGTTGGTTTTTAAGCACCAGAGAGGCAGCCAAATTCGTTGATGGGGTATAATCGGCAACAAAATACCATTAAAGTAAGTGAAGTGTCAGAGCTTGCTCACGATGCGCCTGTCCGACATGGCTGTCAGGCCCCACCCCCTAGAGGGAAATTTTGAGACTACTAAAAGCACTCAAATCACATCATCACAATGGGTGCAGTGGTTATGTCATTTTTAAGCCTGCAAGTAAAGTATTGTAGTTTGGTAGAAGCTGTAATGTTTACACGTTAAAAACACTTCTAGAGGCGGTCTTCCTGATCGCTGCTACAGGCGCTTCCTCCTCCAGAAAAGAGTGAAACTCAGTCTGGGAATCAAATGCAATGGATTGGAGGAGAGTGATGTCAGCTTGGAGTTACAGACTGTAGCGGAGGAAAATGAGGTATGTAGTCTTTAAATTACTTCAGTTTACAGAGAAAAGTGGGTGGTGGTGCGATCACTTCCAGACAAGGGATCATACAGTCCCAATTTAACAATTGTTATTTTTGGGACAATAGCTTCCGTATAAATTTCTATTTTTTGGAAGTTCACAATGTTTCTGCCACTTGATCTGTAAATGCAGTCTTTGTCGCTTCCTGAGAATAATGTATAAACCATATGAGATCGAGTTTAGATTAAAATAATTGCGCAGACGAAAAATAAAAGTTAAATTAATATTTTTTATTAAAGACAACCTACTTCCAACAACTCAGCATTACTAAGATTTAAACCATTCGAGCACATTTTATTTACATGCAGTGGTTACAGGGTACAAAAAGAACAGGGCTTTGTAATATGTGATATTTCATCAATTAAACTAAAACAGACCATTGCCTTGTGGGGCAACATATAGGTATTACACCTTTACTCACATCACAAACAACCACAAAATGATGGGCACCACCTATACATTCTTGTTAAAGGAACTCTCCAAGCACCATAACTACCGCAGCATGCTGTAGCAGTTATGGTGCCAGGAGCCCAAGACCTGAGGTCCGCTTGGCAGCAATCAAAGCCTCCAGGAGAGCCCGAAGCCACAAAGCTTTCGTTAGGTCCCATGACCTAAGCTGCGAAGTGTAGTGCTGGCTCATTGGCTGGGAGCATCACCCATTACGCCAAGCCTTGGACTGCCGACTAGCACAACGCAAAGAGCTTCTGGCTCTCCTGAAGGAGGTGACTGGTACCTAGTGCACACAAGGTAAGTTGTCAAACTGTTCATAAATTATTTTACTATTTACCCTGAAAGAGTTCCAGCGCACTCCTGACACCATAACCACTACCAACGTTTGCTTTAATGGTTATGTAGTTTGAATCGTTCCTTTAAGAAAAATTTCTAAAAACCCGTGTCTCAATCAGATCTGAATAACATCAATAAAAGACTCCAAGAATTATCAGTAATTCTGAATTCAACTCCCATTGGTCAAATGTTTACATCCTAGTGCAGGATTTATACAGCTTTGTCAGAATAGCAGCTATATTAAGGTTAGTTAAATGAATAACACTTTCAACCATCACCAATCAATTTCCTGGTCCCATAGACAGTATTTTGGTTATTGTAACTCTAGATATGGGGCGCCCCCATGTGTATAAAATATAACTCCATCTCCAAACTGTACAGTTTAACTGTCATAGCTTTTTTTTCTGAAAAAACTCTTGTAGTCTGTAAAAGTAAAAGATATTAATTTGATGACAACGGATGTTGCCATATCAGCGTTCTAGGGAAAGCTTTAGACTGTTATACACAAGGTTTTAAATAATAAATATATATTAATAAAAAAAAGCAGCTAATATAAGACAATCATAATCTGTAATCAACTGAGTGTGTTTCAAATGTTTATAACCACAAGAGTGCAAAATATGCTTTCCTTTTCTCGT